CCCCAAAATGAGAATAACATACAAGTAATACTAGATACCACTAAATGCTCAAACACCCGGATAAAACTAATAAGGACATTAATAAATCTATTTCATGAAATCCCGGTAGAAAACTTTCCAAACCTAAAGAGGCACTCAAATACCCAGAACCAACAAATACAAAGTACCCCACATAGAATCAACTGAAGAAGATCTTCTCCAAGGCACATCATTGACCAAAACCACAGACAGAGGCAGGATACTAAATTTGGCCAGAGAGAAACGTCAAGTTACTTTCAAAGGATATCCCATCAGGATAACAGCAGGCCTCTCATCAGAAACAACGCAAGCCAGGAAAAAAATGTGAAAATATATTCAAAGTGTTAAGTGAAAAATAATTTCATCCAAGAATACTATACCCAGCAGGATTATCTTTCATATGGGAAAAAAAGGCAAAAACATTCTCTGATAAACAAAACCTAAAATAATTCAGCTCTCCAAGAAGTGCTGAAGGAAGTGCTGTATCAGGAAAACTAAAGTCGATACACAGAAGTAAGGGTAAAAAAAAAAAAAAAACCAGGGAACCAGCAGTTAGCGTAATGGCTATGTCGCTGGACTCCCACGTAGTCGACCGTGGTTCATGTCCCGGACCCGGTGGCTTAGAACTCACGCCGGGCACGTGTGCGTGCGTGCCCAAGATCCCGAGAGGAGAATGGAGGAGAAAGGATTGCGGTGTGACCATCCCCCCTGGGGGGTGATTTCTCGCTTTCTGTCTCTATGTCTCTCTCTGTCTGTCTGGCGAGCGCACGCGCCCTACAGTGAAAATCTCTCCAAAAAAGAAAAAAAAAACAAACAAATAAAACAAAACATAACAAAACAAAAACAACAAGAAAATGGCCAGCCTAATGGTAAGGGCAAATCTGGAGTTGAATGTTAACTTTCAGAATTTAAATGGAAAGATTAGATCACAGCAACACTGCAGATTCAATAAAAGAAAGATTAATTACATGAGACTGAATTAGTGAAATAGAATGTTTTTGACTTTAGACTAAAACATTACTGATTTTCTTCTATGCTTTGATTTCCAAATTTAGGGCATTTTGTCTTCTCTTGAACTGTTGACAGGTTCATCTACCTACTCTTTGAACTGAATCTTAAACTTTTTCCTGGCTTTAAGTCTTAGGCAAATTTCTCTTAACATTTTAAAATTTTTTATCTATGAAAACTAAAACTGTTTTTCTTGAAATTAAAAAATGCATTAAAAATACCTGTTTAATGATTGTAGTAAGCTATATAGCCCCAGCTAGGTGCTACTTTATACCGTGTTCACTTTACTCATTGAAGTTTACACCTAAAGTCAGACATGTGTTCATAGATGTATCAGCTGTGTTTGCTATTGAAAGTTTTAAAATTAATTAAGAAATCAATAACATGTGGAAAAAAAAAAAGAATGGAAAACAACTGTAGATACCAGAGACAGTGTGGCAGGAGCATGGAAAATGGCAGAGGATGAGAGGTAGGGAATCAAGGGGGAAAAAAAAGCAAAATATATAAGAAACAAGAAATGGAAAAATATTTTGTTGACAATAACATGTGTGATAATATCCTTGATTGAGCCAATATACAGTGTATTCTGGATGAAAAATCTCATTTTGTACATTGCATTGATGTACAATGAATAAAGTAATTAAATAAATTTAAATAAATTTTAAAATTAATTAATCAAGTAATTTTAAAAAGAAAAATACATTCTGGAGAGGTTTTCTCAGGCATTTTCTGCTAATGCTTTGACTACCTTCCCTCTCAAACATTTTCATAATAAGATGTTATCATTCTTTGTCCCTCTAGAAAGCCAACAAGGAAAATGACTTGAGCATCCCAAGAAACTACTGCAATGACCCTGGCACTTGACTAGTAGACTTTTGCTTCAACTGGACCACTTCCATCTCTTGTTAGCCGTAGCTTTGTGCTTTGTCTTCAGGACTGTGCTAGTAAAGCTATATATCATCTACTGTCATAAATCTTCAAAGAAATACTTCAGGATCTTGATCTCACTTGCTTAAAATTTCTATTGAAAGTTCTGCTTTTATCTGTAGCTGATCTGGGTACAATGATTTTGACACCCGTGGAGCAGAAGATTTGCTTAATTTTATTATTTCCATCAGAATTGTTTTGATATCGACTCTGTTGTTAATCATTCATCCTTTTCAGTGAGAACATAAATAAAATTTGGGACCAGCAGTAGGCATAATGGCTATGTCGCCAGACTCACATGTAGTTGACCATGGTTCAAGTCCCAGACACGGTGTCTTAAACTCACGCTGTGTGTGTGTGCGTGCGTGCCCAAGATCCTGAGAGGAAAATGAAGAAGGGATTGCGATGCGGCCATCCCCCCGGGGCGTGATTTCTCGCTTTCTGTCTCTCTATCCCTCTCTGCCTTTATGGCGAGTGCACGCACCCTAGAGCAAAAACCTCTCCAAAGATTAAAAAAAAGAACATAAATAAAATTCATTGTTTCCTCACCAATTGATATGGATTGCCTTCCATAGCAGGCATCATCTTGTCCCTTCTTAGGGGTTATTAATTTATGAAATGTTAATTTACTTGGGGCGTTGTCCTCATAAACTTCACATAGGACATCAGTGATTTTACCATTCTTCCAACCAAGCTTCACCATGAATTTCACATTTATCCTTGCTTCAATTTTAGCAAAATATAAGTGGCTTTTATAGGGGATCTTTCCAAATTGATATCTGTCTTAGTGCCTAAAATTCAATTCTGTTTATACATATTATCATGAATTACTTTGAGCTTATTTTTATGCAAAAATATTTTGAAATTCATGCATAATTTTTTCATAAAATGCATTTTCTATGAACTTTTTGAAATTTCCTCATATCCTCCAAACAATTTTTTTGTGTGTGTATACAGAAATAGAATATTTTCTATTCCTGTAGCCAGAGATCTGTTCTTCAGAAAACTAATATAAAGGGAGAACAAACTAAAACACAAGGTACTTCCTGAGAACCCCTTAGGGAAGATTAATTTGTTACAACAATATGGGGCTGGCAAGTGGCATGGTGGTTAAGGGCGCTGGACTCCCACATGGCCAACCATGGTTCAAGTCTCAGACCTGGTGGCTTGCTTTCTCACTTCCTCACTCTCTTTCTGTCTGTCTCTGAAAAAACTGGAAAATAACAATGATAATAATAATAAATAAAGTTAAATGAAATAATTCTTTAAAAAAAAATTTGTTACAACAATACATGAAAAAATCCAACACCATTGGTACCCAACAGTGAAGGACTGGATGAGGTGAAGCAAAAGCCATAGTGCTCCTAAAGATTTACCTGCATCTCTATGTGCAGAGACACCATTCTCCTCCAAGCTGCCAAAGTGATTAAAAGAAATAAAGGGTTTGGGACCAAGCAGTTGGCATAATGGCTATGTCACTGGACTCCCATGTAGTCGACTGTGGTTCGATTCCTGGACCTGGTGGCTTAAACTCATGCCAAGTGCATGTGTGTGTGTGTGTGTGTGTGCCCAAGATCCTGAGAGGAGAATGGAGAAGGGGTTGTGGCGTGACCATTCCCGCTGGGGGGTGATTTCTCTCTTTCTGTCTCTCTGTTTCTGTTTTTCTGGTGAATGTACGCACCCTATAGAAAAACCTCTCAAAAAAAAAGGTGGTGGGCTTTAAGGATTTATAAACCTCACTGAGATAAAGTTAACCAGCAGGCGACGTGGTGATTAAGGCGTTGGATACTCCCACATGGTAGACCAGGGTTCAAGTCCTAAATCTGGTGGCTGGCTTTCTCACTTCCTTTCTCTCTCTCACGCTCACCCTCTGTCTCTCTCCGGTCAAATTAAATGAATGAATAAATTAAATTAAATAAATGATTATTTAAAAAAAAAAGTTAATTCTATGAATCAATTCTGTTATATTATGGGGGCATTATGTAATTAAGCAGTATTTTTTTTTTCAAAAAGCAAGAACTATAGAAATTGAGAAGAAGGAATTCAGATTTCATTGCAGCACCTATAAACAGAAAAACCTTATAGACCTTAAAAATCTAAATAATGACACCATACCATCTTTGCCAGTATCAATTCCCAAGAGGCCCTAGGTAATAAGTTACTTGAGAGTATGACTTCTTTTTCCAATTTACCTGCACAAGTATTCTTGGATAACTTCCCCATGCCTAGAGTAAGAGCTCCTTATGTAGAATAAAAGCATCAGAGAACAATACAAAGCAGATCTCCAGGAAAACATCAGGGACCTCTAACAACATCCTCAAAATATTCCCCTTTAATATATAGAGAAGCAGAACTTTAAAACAGAAATTATCTACCTTTATTTAAAGAAAAGCACATTCTAAGCAGGCATGGATCAGAGAATGTGGGTTTTAGATTCCACATTATACACTTGTCAGGCGTCCTTGGGCAAATTAATTCCTGACCTTAACAAGTTTCAAGATTCCCACTATTTTTCTAGCACTGGAAGTTGACTCAAAGACAACTTTTGACATTGTCATTTTAACTGTAAGAGATAACACTCTCTAGGTAACCTCTGGTGCTTTTGTTTTTGTTTTAAAGTTTATTTATTTTCTCCCTCCTGGGGGATGATTTCTCACTTTCTCTCTGTTTCTCTAGCGAGTGCATACACTCTATAGCAAAAATCTCTCTACAAAAAAAAATAGTTTATTTAGTTTCTTCTTTCATGACAAGGCCCCCAACAGGGCCCTCATAACATGACCCATGATGACCCATGTCCAGTCTCAGGCAGCCCAGGTCACGGGCACATGCACACATGGTCAGCATGCTCAGGAGACATCCCAGGATACAAACCCAGGAACTTTCCCATGTGAGTCCAGTTGCCTGACCTACCATTGGCATTTCTTGTCCCCAAAGGACTCTGGAACCAAGTAGAAGATGACACCTTTTTCCTAATTCCCACTCCTTTTCCAAAATTAAAACTGTGGAGCTTACTACCCAAATGAAAACATAACATGAATTTAACTCACCTCCAGAGACTTCTATGTTGCTCCTCGAGTTGAGTTAGGAGATGCTCGATGTATTTATTGGAATCCATGTATTCCTGCAATGGACAAAAAGACAAATAAACCTCATTACAACAATCATCAGAATTCTGGCTCTTTCCTTACACTCACAGGGAAGATTTTTGACAAAATAATCCCTAGATTCCTCAGTTCCAGGAGTCTATCCTTCTAGGACTTACAGGCTTGTCTTCTGGGGATGAATAATATTTTCCTTACAGACTGTGATCACTTTATAAACAAAAAGCTAAAGAGAATTAAGAGTTTCACCAAATCAACAAAAATAATACTCTTCTTCACAGAAAGGCCTACACTCCACAATCACTTACAATAGGGTCCATGTGTTCTATATAAAAGTAAAAAAGTCAATGTTGCACTAATCTCAGAAGATTAAGAATAAAAATACAGGGACCAGCAGTTAGCGTTATGATGCTGTTGCTGCATTCCCATGTAGTCGACCACGGTTCAAGTCCCGGACCTGGTGGCTTAAACTCACTCCGGGCACGTGCGCGTGCGTGCCCAAGATCCCAAGAAGAGAATAGAAGAGAAGAGATTGCAGCGTGGCCATCCCCCCGGGGGGGTGATTTCTTGCTTTTTGTCTGTCTCTCTGGCAAGTGCGTGTGCCCTATAGCAAAATCTCTCTCAAAATAAAAAGAATAAAAATATAGATCTTGATTTTTACTGGTTTTTATGAATCACTTACTACCAAAACAATGTTTTAAACTATATAGTATGCTACACACACACACACACACACACACACACACACACACATGTATAAGTATGTCACCAGGTCCAAGACTCAAACCACGGTTTGTCATGTGAGAGTACAATGCACCAACCACCATGCCACCTGCTGAGCCCCAGACTTTTTTCTTTTTTTAATGTTATACCTAAGCTGTTGCTCTTACAGGAATATTTACTATAAACACAGGAGCTGATCTGAGGTCATTGAAAGGATCCAGTCCTGGACTTCCCATCCCAGATCTCCCCACGTAACCTGGAAGAAAGTTTATCTTTAAAATATTTCAGTGAGCCTGGATGGTATAGTAACTCCCTATCTAATTAAAAACCATAGTTATTCTAGGATACTATAATTCTGTTACAGATGGATAAAGAGTTTTATGCTTACTGAGTAAGCATTCATTTTCAGTTGACTACTGAATAGCTAAACAAGAACATTGGGCATGTTAAAACAAAGGTGGGAATCTCTTCCTTGCTACTGCAGGAAGTTGCAACATGTGTGGTTAAGGGTTTCAGTGGCCTGATAAAAACTAAAATGTGTTTTAGGATACTCAGCATTATTGAAGACATTAGTTTGAAATGTGTTCACCCCGTCCCCACCAAAAACTAGAGACATTGCTTCCATGCACAAGCACACACAAAAAAGGTAAAAATCCCCATGTTATTGATTCATTTTTAAAAGTTTATTTCTTCCATGAGCAAGAAAGAAACAAACACCCCATCAGGTTCTGACACCATAATCCACCTCCAGCCATAGCCAGGGTCTGGATGCCACTTTCCACATGCCCACTGAAATGAGATACCTTAATAAGCCATAAATATTATTTACAATCAAGTAACTTCCATATAAAAAAACAACAGAAAGTCTTTCTCAGGTATTTGTGGGTTAGAAAACATAGCACCAACTTCTTAATTTAAAATTTAAAGGTACATAAATACACCTATTATAAAGACATCATTGTGTGTATCAAAAGTTACATCAGATCACATTTCTATATGTTTTAAAATTTTCACAGAGGTATAGCACTAAGCAGACATCTATTCCTTGATGAAACTTATGCAAATTAAAATAGGTTCAAAGAGATCTCAATAAATTTGCCTTTCATTTCTTTTAATGCACATGTTTGAAGGCAATTAGTATGAAACTTTTAAAGCGATTAGAGGTTTATGAATACACTGAACATTGCATATGCATATGTGCATAGCGTCAGCCCATTTAATGTGAACCTATTGTCTGAAATAGGTCAGTTTGGACAGAGGCTCGTTATAAATGAATCTAATGATGGGAGGATCTTATGTATCATTCATTTTTAAGTAGGATTTTAAGTATAATAGTATATCAAAGCTTGCAGAAATCTATAATCCCTACAAATGATCTTCATATTATAACTGGCACAACTTAATGGCACAGCTTGTGAAATCCTGCCAGCAACTGAGACTACTAATGTAGAATTCCCAATTCACCTTTGGGCAAAGAAGCACCGACAAGGAGGCCAGCTGTTCAAATTAACAGAAACATCATTAGATACAGGCATTTCCACCATTAGGAAATGACTAACTACCATAACAAGTGATGCTGCCCTCAAAAATGATTTTGTCATCTTAATGAAAAGGTACATCTGCACAGTGAATGTAGCAAACAACATTCCCACTTTGGGAATTATATATACAAGGCAACAGGTAGAAAGATGTTTCATACTTCACTGGCATCTGAGCCAACATAAATTCTTTTGAGGAGACATTTTTAAGTAGCAAACACAACAGACAAATCAATTCAGGAGTCCCAGTTTTAACACACTAATCCTACTGCTATCAACACTCAGCCATCTCTAATTCCTTTTTCCCATTTACTCCTCAGACAGCTGCAACTGTTCTTCTACAGTGAACTCTTCAGAGGAGTTGCTCTACTCTGCCAAGGTGGAATCTCATGCTTTTGCTTGGTCCTCATTTTATTTCTAGTTCCTGCGCCACTTGACATCTTTAAGTCATACTCTCTAGTACCCTGAAAATGTCTATCACCTGTCACTGAGGTCTTACTTTTCCTTTTTTCTTTGCTCCTTATTCATCAAGAGTAAGATTCTGTTCTAGGTCCTTCTTCATTCCCTACTAGAAAATTCCATCAGCTACTAGGGTCTCAACAACCACCAATAATCCAGACATCTTATGTTTATCTCTGTGCTAGATTACTCTCCTGATAGCCAATCCCATGCATTTGACTATTTGCCAGACAAGCCCCTTTTGATATACCACATACTTTGAAAACTATGTCTTCCTTCAGTTGTATATCCTTCAATACCCACCAGAGCACTGGGAATATCAAAAGGACTCAAAGGTGAATGAGTGGGGGGTCAGCAGGTGGTATGGTGATTAAGGGCACTGGACTCTCACATGGCCAACTGTGGTTTGAGTCCTGGACCTAGCGGCTTGCTTTCTCATTCTCTCTCTCTCTCTCTCTCTCTCGCTCTCTCGCTCTGTTTCTCTCTGGTCAAATTAAAATAAAATAAATAAAGTTAAATAAAATAATTCTTAAAAAAAAAAAGTGAATGAGTGAATTACAGTGAGTCCTCCCCATCCACCTTAAATTGTGCAGCGCTCTGAGTAATAAGATGAAATCTCATGCTGTCTCAAACTGCCCTTGTGAAGACGTGATTCATCCCTCTGTTCAGTATATTCGCACTGTACATGCTATCTGCATAGTAGTCATTTAGATGCCATCTCGGTCATCAGATTAACCATTAGGTGTCACAGAGTGTATGTTCATGTTTCCTTGTTTTACTTTACAAAGAGCAAGAGGAGTGAATTTGGCGTGCTGTTATAATTGTTCTATTTTGTTATTAGTTATTGTTGACCGAGTTATCTCCTACTGTGCCTAATTCATAAATTAAACTTCTTCCTAGGTATGTGTGTATAGGAAAAAATTGTGATACATAGAGGTTCTTTACCATCTGCAGTTTCAGACATCCCCTGGGTTTTTGAAACGCATTCCGCCTGTTAAAGGGGAGCTACTGTAATTAGCTGAATGCAGTCAGCCTGATAACAAGAACAAGAGCATTTGAGATTATTAGGCTGAATCTTGTGTTCCAGAACTGCTTTTTAATTGAAAAGGTTATAATGATCATAGAGACATGTGGCAGTTATGAGAAGATATGAGGGTAGGGGAGAATGAATGTTTCCTCTCTACCCTCACACCACTATAACACTCTGAACAGCAGATTGGGGGAGAGGTATTGCCCCAAACACCAATCAATAATTATTCAGCAGACATCAGCTGAGTGCCCTATAATTAAATTCATTTCTGACACTGTCTACCTGGAGATAGCATTATACCTGACAAGTCAAGACTTATTCAAGACTGCTACTGAATTTGCACAGTCTCAAGTAGCAGGTTGTGATCTATATTTTTATCATTCAGGATTCTACCACACTCTTTTAGGGCTTGAGTTTCTGCAATTTTTCATAGAACTCAAGGGAAAACTTAGGTATGTTTACCCAATTATTATAAATTACCCATATATTATAAATATTGGAAAAGGATCGTAGTACCTCTATCTACAAGGGTTTTAGTAGTTCTGAGCCGGGAATGAGAGATCAAGAATATATATATTTCATCACACTATCACAGCAGTTTTCTAAAATCACTGTGTATTCATATGTCTATTCCATTGGTACAACCCAGGAGTGGCATCATGAAGACAAGCTAGTGACAGCTTGCAGAATCACTGTGTTTTGATCTCATAACCCTGAGGAAGATTTGAATGTATCACTCACCTACGACACGTAAGTCCAACAGGCTGCCGAAGATCCCAATACAGTACAAAAGTCACAACCATGGTTTGCTATCAAGTGAAGGGCGACTGATGACTGAGGAAACCCCATACAATGAGAACATCTCTATAACCTGTGATTTATGAAAATTTCTCTAATGTGAATTGACATAATGATGGTTATTCAAAAGTTCATGGAAAATAATTATAAAAAATGTACCCATGAATTTCAAATTTTTTTAAACTAAAATCAACTTCTCCATAGAATGCTAGTAAAACACTGAACAGAGGAAACCACATTCCCCCTTAGCCAACCAGGGTTTGAGTCCCAGTCCTGGTGGCTTAAAAATCATGCTAGGTACATGCATATGTGCCTAGAATCCTGACTGGATAGAGAATAGGGAGAAAAAGTATTGCTGTGTACCCAGGTCTTATTGGACAGTACTTTCTCATTTTGTCTCTCCTTTGCATGTACTCTCTGGCATTGAAAGAAAGAAAAATTCATTTTTCCATAGACTTTTCAAAGT